GTTTTTATACGGGAATAAAATTTTAAAAATTTCTATTTAAAACCTTCTGAAATTTAATAACTTTTAAAAATTACAACTTTAATTCTCTTAAAATTCAATTATTTTCTACAATTTTTAATCAAACTTCTTCTCGAAATCAATTATTTTTAATAATTTTCTGAAAGTTCTTAGAGAATTTAATTATTTAAATACAACTTAGAATGTTTTCAGAATCTTAATTTTTGTCAAATACATCTGTTTATATTGTGACCTTAAGGCCACAATATAAACAGATTTATTATTTAAATACAAAAATGTTTTTTAAGTTATTAATTTTCAAAAAATTATAGGTAATAAAGAAATTCTTAAAATTAATTTTTCAAAAATATTTTTAAAATAATTTATGAAAGATAATAGTTTTTCAATTATATAGAATTGAAAAATTTCCAAACAATTGAAATTTGGTAAATTCTATTAAAAAAATAATTGAATTTTTAAAGAATTTTAATTATTAATATAAACACGATTTCTCCAAAATTTTAATAAATCTAAAAAGTTCATATGTTGTTAAAATGTTAAAAATAATTGTAAAAAATTCTAATGTTATTATTTTTTGTACGTATTTGAATTTTTGGAAATTTGTATTTGAAACTATTGAAAATAATTGAATTTTAAAAAAATTAGAATGTAAAAATTCTAAGAATTATTTTTATCAAAAATATTTTAATATAATTTTTTTGAAGCTAATTTTCATTAATTAACATTTTTTAATTTACACTTGAAGATTTTTCATTAAAATTTTTGAGAAATCAATTATTTTCAAAATTTACAATTAAAATTCTTTTAAAGTTTATTTTCAAAAATTTTTATCAAACACTTTGAGAAAAATCAATTATTTTCAATAAAATTTTAGAAAATTTCAATTATTGAAACTCTTTTTTATTGTAAATTTTGAAAATTTATTTAGTAATTTATAAAAATAGTTGAATTGTGTCGAAGAAATTATTAAAAATGTTAGGAAATAATTGAATTTTACGGAAATATTTGAAAATATTTGAATTCTTCCGAGAAATTCAATTAAAGATGTTTTGAAAATAATGGAATTCCTGCAAAGAATTTTACTATTTATAAAAATAATTGAATTCTTGCGAATAATTTTACCATTTATAAAAATAATTGAATTCTTGCGAATAATTTTACCATTTATAAAAATAATTGAATTGTTTCGGAAGGTTTTATTAAGATTTTAGAAAATAATTGAATTTATTTGAAATATATTAAAAATTGTTTTAAAAATTAAATTCTTTCGAGGTATTTAATTTCAATTATGTTCAAAATTTGCAATTAAAATTCTTCAAATAATGTTGATTTTCAAAAATTTTTAAAAAACACAAAAAATCAATTATTTTTAATTAAATTTTACAAAATTTCAATATTTATTGAAACTCTTTTCAATTGTAAATTTCGAAAATAAGTTGCATTTTATACTAAAAATTATTGCAATATTCGGAAGAAAAGTCAAAAAAGTCGTAATTTTTGAAAATAAGTCGAAAAAAGTCGCATTTTTTGAAAATTGTCGAAAAAAGTCGAAAATGTTATAATATCCGAGGCCTGCTTTTACTGCTTTTATAGTAAAACATTTCTGGTAACTTTTACTACTTTCGGAGTAAATTTTGCTGCGTTCAAAGAACATATTTGTAAAAAATTAGTAAAATTTACTTTGAAAGTAGTAAAAGTTACCAGAAATGATTAACTAGAAATGTTTTACTATAAATAAATAGCAACAAATCTGTTTAAACAAAATTGTAGAATTAATAATTTTCAATTAAAACTATACCTGTCGTTTCATATTCAGCTTAAGAAATTGCAAAATTATAGAAAAAACTCCATTTTTTTCTAAATGGACTAAAAAAAGTTATTAAATAACGAAAATAAATTTTTTTAAATAAATAAAAAATGCAATTTAACATTTGTAAAACATATTAATTGACACCATATAGAGCACCTACTGATTTCAAATCTTTTATTTATTTATTTATATATATTTAAATATTCTATCGGTAATTATTATTTGCAGTATATACCCCAAATTAGTATCTACATAAATTCAAAAATCAACAGGTAATTCTAAAAAAATTATATATAAAAGAATTTGTAAAAGAGTTATCGAATTATAAAACTCTAGCTCTCTGTTTATTTTGATTTTATAAAATAACACTTTGACGAAGTCCATAAAGTACATGATCAACAATTCCGAAGAAAACATATTTTTCTATGCAAATTTTTGTAAATTTTAGTCTGAAAATATTATTCAACAAGTTTCTTTATGAAACATTTTTAAAAGAAAAATTTTTAAACAAAAAATTTTGTTTTCTATTTGAAAAATAAATTTTTTGTCATTTTTTAAAAATTTTGTTGAAAGAGAAATAATTTTAAAATCGAAACTTTCTATTTTGGAGAAAAAACACTTTTTAAGTTTAATTTTAATTTTTCGGGCATTTCCATCCACCATCGTTTGTGATCATATATTTGGGATGGATTAAAATAATTTTCATTTAAGAAAAAAGAGAGTTAGCATTGGTTTCTAACACTTCCTTACCTAGAAAAAAATTTTGAAAATTTTCCTTTTTTATTCTAATTTCCAAAATATTTTAAATCATAAGTTTCTTGAAGATTTTTCCAAGACACAAAAAGTTTTTAATTCTTTATAAGGTGCCGTTCACAAACGTTAAAAATTAATTAAATTATAATATAATTATAAGAATATTAATCACAGTAAATCGTGAGGTATTAAAAAGTGTTGCAGATTAAATTAACACCAAAAAAGATTAAAATAATCAATTTTGGTGTTATTTTTTACAATGAATGAAATTTTAGTTCATTAAATTTTTTTATAACTATAAAACATGAAGATATCGATAACTCCGAGTCTTCGACTCGGAGTCATCGATTTCTTCATATTTTATAATAATTAAAGATGACCAAGTAATAAAATCATTATTTTATATTATAAGAATATTATACTTCTTCAAAATTATTTTCATTTTTTCAATTCAATTATTATTTTCAAAAAATTTTAACTACAATTGAACTTTTTATCAATTATTTTTAATAATTTTCGAAAAAGTTCTTTGGCAATTTTCAAAACTACTTGTTTACAATATTTAATTTCACGAAATTTCAATTATTCCTAAATTCTTTAATTAAATGCATATTAGAAAACAAAAACTTCAAATAATATAAAAGAAAATTCAATTAAACTTTTTCAAAAAAAAATTAATTTCAAAATTCAATTATTTCTAAAAATTAACACTAATTGCTTTTAATATTCAATTATAATCTAAAATTTTAACTGAAATTCATTTTTATAAAATGAAAATAAATTTTTATTAGAAAATTCTACAAGAATTTAATTATTTAAATGCAAAAGTAAATAATTTATTAAATAATTGAATGTTTCTCAAAATTCAATTCTCATAAAGAATTTTATTAACAAATTTTTAAATAATTGAATTTTTTTGTCAAATTTTATTAAAACTTGCATGAACATAATTACTTTTTTCAAGAAATTCAATTATAATTGTATGAAAAATAATTGAAACGCTGCGATGAGTTTTATTATTAGTTAAAATAATTGAATCCTTAAGAAGAATTTTATTACTTTTGAAAATAATTGAATTTCTGCAATAATTTCTAACTTCTCTAAAATTAAATTTTTTTCTAGTGTTTTTAACTAACATTATTCAATAAATCCATTATTTTTAATAATTTTTAAAAAAAGTTCTTTGAGGATTTTCAAATTTATTCGTTTACAATTCAATTTTACAAAATTTCAATTATTTGGAAATTCTGCAATTAAATATATTTATTAAAAAATAAAAACTTGAAATAATTTCAATAAAAATCCTATTAATTAAACTTTTAAAAAGAATTAATTCTACAGAATTTTTTTTCAAAAATATGAAAAATTAAGAATTTCAATGATTTTAGTTTGAAACTTTTTCAAAAATTTAATTATTTCTAAAAATCCACGTTATAATGCTTGTAATATTTAATTATAATCTAAAATTTTAACTAAAATTCACGTTTACATAAATTTTTATTAGTAAATTCTACGAGAATTCAATTATTTAAATACAAAAATAAATTATTTATTAATTTTATGTTTCTTGAAATTAAATTCTCATGAAAAATGTTATCAACAAATTTTTTAAATCATTAAATTCTTTGGACGAATTTTAATAAAATTTTTAAGAATAATTACATTTTTCGAGGAATTCGATTAAAATTGCATTAAAAATAATTGAAATTCTGCAATGAGTTTTATTATTTATGAAAATAATTGAATTCCTAAAAGAATTTTATTATTTATAAAAATAATTAAATCCCTGAAAAAATGTTATTATTTATGAAAATAATTAAATTATTGCGAAGAAATTTATAAAAAAAAAAATTGAAAATAATTGAATTCCTTTAAAAATTTTTATTATTATTTATGAAAATAATTGATTGTTTCCGTAGAATTTTATTCCATTTTTTTTTTAATAATGGAATTCTTTTGGAAAATTTTATTGAAATAGTAGATTAATAATAGGTTATTTTAATCTTTTCTGGTGTTAATTTAATCCTAGAGGGATTAAACTGTTGCAGATTATTTTAATCCATTCTGGTGTTATTTTAACACCTCACGTTTTACTGTGTATAATTATTCAAATTAAGAATGAATTATTAAATAAATCATTGCTTTTGTGTCTTAGAGTCGTTCATTGGCCTGTAATAAAGGTAATAATTATTCAATAATTCAGTGTGAGTTATTAGAAAAAAAATCATTCAATACACCCAGATGGAAAATTTGTAGAAGAAAAGAAAGTATATTAAAAGAAAAGAGCGAAGAAATGGTTAGTAAAAAATGAAGAGCATGCAAAAGTAGAAAGAAGGGAAGAGAAGAGAAGAGAAGAGAAAAAGAAAGAAGCAAGAAATATATAATTGGCAGTACAGTGTCCTGGCAGTACACCACTTACAGGGATGGAGGCGGGCTTGTTGACCACAACGACGTCCTCGTCCATGTGTATCACCGTGATCGGCTCCGAGGTGACAGGCACCTCGTGTCTGTAACACACCAATCGCAACCAGCTTAACGTGGCGTTGTTCTATAAGGCTTACGTTCATTGTACCTTTAGATACACTCTCACACACACTCAGACTTTTCACTACATGTATCAAAAAATCACGTCATTATTACTTCTTTTCTTCATTTTCCTATATTATATCTCTAAAATTCATTTTGCATTTATTTTTACAACTTCACTCAACTTTACACACTTATTGTCTAAATCTTTTTTCAAAAGGTTAAGGTGATCAGAATTTTTTCAAGTTGAAAATAAATAAGAATCGAATATTTGTCACCTCTAGCTGGAAATTGATGCTATTATTAAAATACGTTTTACATACCTAATAAATATGCATTATTTTTTGTTCCATACCATCTTTTCTGAACAATCAGCTTGCTTTCTATTTTATTATTATTATTATTATTATTATTATTATTATTATTATTATTATTTCATTTCAATAAATAACATTCCACTCTCGTTACTATTTCAAACATTTTCGCTTCTGGGTTTGCTTTTAAATGTTTGCAATTTTAATTAACAATTGCTTATTTTATTGAGAAAAAGGTTCTCCATAACTTTTCCGCCATGACTTTCTCAAAAAGTTTACTATTTTTAAAATATATGTATTTTACAAACGAGAAAATTCTTTTTCAGTTTTTTTTAAAACAAATATTCATATTTGAAAAATAAATTAAAAAAAATTCAACGCGATAAAGTTGTACAGAACCTTTTTCTTAATAAAGTAAGCCATTAATAATTAAAATTGCAATCGAGATTGCAATATTATATATAGCATTATATAATTCACCAAATTGGTCATATTTGTAGGCACTGTGTGCCATTAGTATTAAGTGCTTCTGTACGAAAGGGTTTATTTATCGAAACCCGTTTATGATTTAAAAAAAAAAAAATTAAAAGAAGACTCGGAAGGGAGAATATTAGACACAGTAATAAAAGTAAAATGTTATTTTTCCCATTGAAATGAAATAATAACCGAAAGCAAGCTAATTATTCAGAAAATAATAAAATAAATAATAGTAAAATAAAATACTAAAATAAATACTAAATAACACAGAGCGATAAAATTCTGGAACAAGATAATATTAACATCAATTTTCAGCTGGTAGTCACGCAACAAATGTCTTAAGTTATTTAAATTAAATTGTTATTTTGTCTCAACTTCTATGGTTGTATTTTTGATTTAAAAATTTAGTAAATTGTTTAAAGAAACCTTAATTATCAAAAGAAGCAAATTGCGGTTACTTTTTCCTGTTTTGGTATAATGTTTCCTTGAATATACTGCTGAAAATTCCTTTATTCCTTACAGTTGTCCTATGTATGATCCTATATATAAAGGATATTATGGAGGATCCTACATATGACAACTGTAAAGAATCTTCAAAGGAATTTTCAGTTTGATATTTTTGACATATTTAATAAAATATATAAATACTATTACTAATTATTAATTGTTAATGAGACTAATAATTTTTATAAGCAATCTACTTAATCAGTTAATTCACTGCAATTACTAATAAATACCCAGTAGGCACAGGGTCATGTGATGTCTAGATATGGATGTCTATGTAGGTTCAAAGGATCTTCTAAAGATAAATTATAACCTAGAGACATCCTTAGGACATAAGATGTCTTTCGGATGTCTTTCGAACGGACATAGAAGTCCTAAAGATGTCCTAAAGACATCCCATGTCCTAGTATGTCTACAGGGATAGTATAATATTATAATTTATAAGTATACTAAGAATAATAGTACTAAAATGAAAAATATTCTACATTTTAGAAAATGGATAAAAATAAATGAAGATGAAACAAATTAAAGAAATTATACTAGCTATAAGTTTGTTAATGAAACTGCAAAACAACTTGATCTGATTAAAATAACATTTTACTTAAGTAGCGTGGGTAGACCAGGTTTTTTAGGTGCAGCATATTTTTTAATTTTTCATACTCGAGTGTTTTCCAATGTATTTTTGTCTGCTGAACATGATTCCAGATCCCAAAATTATGCTTAGTACGTCAGGATTTTTTTTAGAAAAATGGAGATAAATACTTATTAAAAACATGAATTTGAAGATCGATCAAAGAAAAATAGAGGATTTTGATTTTGAGAAAAGTGGGGGTAAAGACTTTTAAAAACACGATTTCACGGTCACTATGACGATATTTATCTCAAAATCCTGACGTGCTGGGCAATTTTAAAACTTGAGATCATGTTCAACGAACAAAAAAAAAAAATTAGAAACCAGTTCGATATCACAAATAAAAAAAGTCAACATCGTGACTAAATGAGTCGATATTGAAAATTTCAGGCATATGGACCTCTATAGCTCAGTGGAAGAGCAATCAACCAGCAATTGATAGGTCCTGGGTTTCAATCCCCAGCAGAGTTAATCCCCCATTTTTTCATAGTTTTAATTTTCAATTTTTATCAAAGTCTATATAGTTGACTATCGCTTGTAGGACTAAAAAAATGTAAAAATATGTTCCGAAAAAAAGTTTCCAAACAATATGGTTTCATCATATATAAGGTTTTTAGGGTAGCTGAATTCAAATTTGAGGTCAGTTTTTCAAAATTCAAAATGTCGGATCCAATATGGCGGGTAATTTTAAAATTGATGCGTTTCGACCGAAATTCGTTTCTCGGGGGTTTCCGGGGTCGCTGATTATACGAATCTGAGGTCAGATTCTAAAAATTCAATATGGCGGACGAGAAAATTAAAAATCCAGCGGATTTGCTTAAAACTTGTTACTCGGGGGATTTTCGGGTTCGCTGATCATGAATCTGATGTCAGATTTTCAAAGTTCAAAATTGCGGATCTAATATGGCATCCAAATTTTAATATTTGATGGATTTATCTAAAACATTTCATTTCGGTTAAAAATGACCATTCGTTAAAATGTCATTTCGTTATAAGTTCAATTCAGCTGAACGACAATTCATTAAAATGGCAATAGGTTAAATGCAGTGCTGATAAAATGTCAGTAGTGTCAAATCTTACACTATAGCAGATGTAGCATTTGGTGTTAGTTTTTCAAAATTCAAAATGGTGGATCCAATATGGCGGTTAAATTCAGAAAATTTACAACTGATAATGAAATTAATGAAATTAATGAAATTTCAGGTTTGATTTTAAAATTCATGACTTTTTCGGGATTTCCAGGTTCTGCACAGCAACCCTGGATATATCTATATACAAAGACCGTGCCATGTGCACATGTGAGATTTGACTAATTATAATTACATTATATAGTGACAATGCGAGATGGGAATTTTTTGATAATGAGAAGGAGGAGCTAATAAGTGATCGAGATTGATCGTAATTGATTGGACATTGAAACTAGTTGCGTGATAATGGTTCCGCGATTTGAAATCTATTTGATCCCATTGTGATTCGTGAGTGTCATTTTGGTGCACCACAAAGCCAATATTGTCTAATTGCAGCAATGCATTTCAATAAAGCCTAATTGAGCCATTTCAATTGACTGACCACAATTGACAAAATATTGATTTTATCGACAGATATGTATGTATGTATATATATATATATCTTTTTTTTTCTTCTTCAATATACTTTTATTTGCTCCATTGAAACTTGATATGCTTCCCACAACTGAGCTCTCAGCGGGTATTCATTAATTAAACGATAACAATTCTATCCTATACGTAACAATTATTAAATTTTAATTAAAAAACTTTTCTTCAAACAATAGATTATGCTTTATTAATCTTTATTTTTAATTTTCGTTTATTCGAAAAAATATATTTATTACCGATAAAAATACTTTGTGAAAAGAGAGTGAACTTTGTAAATGTTTTATACTAATGTAGATAAATGTAAATAAAAAAAAGTACAATTATTAATAAACTGAAAATGAAAAATTCCACTTTTGATGATAATGTAATGAATTTATTTCGCCCTATATATTATTGTAGGTTCTTTGTCTCGTAAATGTTTGCTCCTGGAGGAAGCAAATCGCATTTGTTACACGAGAAAGCACAAGACTAACAAACTTACAATCAAAGTTATTTAATTCACATGAAGTAACTGTAACTCAAATTTGTTTATTTTAGCAAATAAACGCCAAAACAATGTTTCGAATTAGATTTATTGTTTCTATACCTTATCATACTATAAAATCATCCTTAATTAATTATAAAAATAAAATTAATAAATTCAAGAAATACGAAAATTATACAAAATTATTCCAAGAGCTTGCAAATAGAAAAAAGTTGCAAATAATAATAATAATAGAAAAAGAAAAATTATATAAAAATTTAATTTAAAAAATAATGAATTTAACAATTAAGAAAATAAATGCGAAACAGTAAGAGATATAAAACTAAATATAGAAGACTATAAAAAGAAGAAAAAGTATAAAATAATATAAGATTTGAAATTAAGAGGAGAAATGCATTTCTATTCTCTCCGCAGTGATATTTAAATATATAAATAATATTCAACCTCTATTTTAAAAGAATATAAGGAAACAATAGAGCCAGATATAATAGTCTTTTTAATTTGCTCTTTTGCAATCTCGTCTGGCCTTTTAGATCTATATATATAATGCCACGGCTATAAAAGTGAACTCTCGAACCTGCCGAACGGCATTTTCCGACAGGTGTCCGAGCAATATCGATTACGAGATTTCTTGAATCTGACGTCGCAACAAAAAGTAATATAAAAAAAAAAATAACAGACATTTTAGCTTTCTATAGAATTCCAACCAAAATTACTCTTTCATTGAAAAAAAGCAACAACAACATAAACTTTCATTTCAAAAATTTTTTTTTTAAATCATTTTTTTTTTATTCATTTTATGTAAAGTTTGACAAAATCCACATTAACGGCGTAGAGTTTGGAGAAATTTCATTTAATTAATTACAAGTAATTTCGACTGTTCTGAATAAAATCGTGCTCAATTTTACAAAAAGAAAATAATTAAAATCTATATGAGGCATTCTATTTCAAAACC